ATTGCCTAACAAAACCCCCTCACAAAGTTTTCAGACACTGAGATCGTGGCCCGCTATATGAGGGTCTGAACGACTTTGGATATGAAGACCCGTAAAGTGATCACCGCCTCAGATTGGAGTGAGGAGCCCCTCCAACAAGACTCGGTGAAGCGTGACGCTTCTTGTGCTCGCAGCCTGATGATCGCCCTTCTAGGATTTGAGGCAACCCCTCAGCTTATCAACGGACTTTGATTCGTCTTTACCAAGCTGCGTTGAGTTGACTAGCCATCGCTCTTGCCCCTTAGCATGTAAGTTGTTGAGGAGTTTCTCTAGGCTTAATAGCTAAAATTTCTCCTCTATCCTTTGCAGCCTTTTACGAGGCGTTTGGATTAAGGGAGCAACCCAGCTTTAGGACCAGTTCGTACTACGTTGCAGGTGGAGAGACCACGCTCCAGTTGGAGTGAAGGAGAACAGTTTATAACTCGTATACGCGTTGGAGTCCCCTAGGGGGAAGCTTAAATCTGTAGGGCAGAAGATGAATACGAACCCTTGATTGTCTTCTCTTGGGCAAAGACGAACCTAGAAATAGCAAGCACAGTCGCATAGTAGAGCCACTATCAAACAACAACGCCTTTTATGAGAAAGACGGTTGACTGGGAGAGAATCAAATCGTTCAGGGGACGTAATGAGTGTGACGATTGATTGGACAACATCATTTGCTGGGAATGACGGTGTCGGCTATACAGAGGTAAATCGTTAACAATGATAAGGAATTGCCGCGATCGGAGCGGACTTCGAGGAGCCTACCATCCTTTTGAAGAGGATTGGTAAGTTGTTTTGTCAGAGGTGTAGTTGTTGAGACTGACAGTGGGGTACGCGCCATTCTGTTGAAGAGAGGATTGGCGGGTGGGATTGTGGCTTGCGTCCAAACTATCTGAAGCGTTTGACAAGTGGAGTTTTGATGTGAGGCCACGCTGAACTGGCTATACTCGGTAGATGGCACTGTTTTGAGGGCGTTCGCCATAACCGGGAACCTGGCGCAACCAAAGAAGTGGGGCTCGCTAAAACTGTTAGGTTCGCCTGAATTTGAGCGCGTTCGCCGAAAACTGGCGAACCTGGACTCAAGAAGCGGCGAGCTCGCCTAAACTGTTTCAGGCTCGCCTGCATTTGAGCGGGTTCACGCGAAACTTGGGGACACCTAACTCCAGAAGATGGGTTCGCCTAAACTGTTAAGGTCTCGCACTAGTTTGAAGCGGTTCGGCCATAATAATCGGGAACCTGTCCCGAACAGAAGTTGGAGCTCGCCTAAACTGTTTAGGTTCGGTGCGCTGATTTGAGCGGTTCGCGCAGAAACTGGAACTCTTGGCTCATCGAACGGAGCTCGGCCTAAAACTGTTAGGACTCCCAGCCTGATTTTGAGCGGCTTCACGCGAACTGGGACCTGACTCCAGTAAGGATGTAGTTCGCCTAAACTGTTAGGCTCGCCTGCGTTGAGCGGTTCGCGTCCGATACTTGGGACGCTGCTCAAGAAGTGGAAGCGTAGGGAAATAGTTTTAACGCTCTTATACCAGCTTGGAGGATCAGAAGAAGTAGTATTATACTCGTGTACTTGTCGGAGTGTTAGGAGCAGTTGTAAACTCATGCACCAGTTTGGAGTATAAGAGAAACCAGTCAGAGGTGATTGTTAACATGATAGCGCTTTGTGGGCAACCGCCCGTCCTTTTGAAGAGGATCGACGCAGAAATTATCAGAGGTGATTGTTAACGGTATAGGATTGTCGCGATTGGAGTCGGACTTTGTGGCCTGCCGTCCTATTGAGAGTGATCGACCGGGAGATTGTCAGACGGTGTAGTGTGTAAACGATGACAGGATGTCGCGATTGGCAGCGACTTATGTGGGCCGACCGCCGTCCTATTGAGAGGATCGACAGCGAGGAGATGTCAGAGTGTAGCTGTTAACAATGAGCAGGCGATTGTCATCGATTGGAGGCGACTCTATGGGCCCGCCGTCCTATGAGAGGATCGACGGAGATAATCGTATATATATTGGAGGAAACGCGTCTCCACTACGGCAGAGCATCTTTGGTCACATCTCCTCGAAAATTCATGCAGCGGTCTTCGTCACCCATATGCTTGAGCATGGCTCTCGACTTGTTCTCTTGACGGAGTAAAGTCTTTCATGA